TTTCTAAAGTCCGCCTTAAAGAAAGCAGGAAAAGGTTATGATGGGTTCCTCAGTTCTATCTTCAGGTCTGGAATCTTGTGCCCTTGCTGCCCGTGGACAGACTCAGGGAGCAAATCTTGATAATCGTCAAAATAAGTGACCACTGCCAAAAACCTGGACACTACAAAGAAACATGCTGGAAACTTCACGAGAAGCCTCAAAATTGGAAGCCAAAGGAAGGGGGTGATCGTTTCAGTCATGGGAATGTGGCTGCCACGTCGAATTCGGCTGTCAGAGAGTTAAATGATGTGCCTGAATCAGCTCCATTCACTAAAGCTCAATTGGAGGTTCTTCAGAAACTTTTGAATCAATCCTCCACTCAACCGGCATCTACGTAGGATACTAGAATGTTGGCTATGGGAGGTAATGCATCAGTTGCTTGTCTTGTCAATAGGTGCACTAACAAATCCTGGATTCTAGACTCCGGAGCTTCAGATCACATGACTGGAGATGCATCTATTTTTCTAAGTTTCACCCGAACAAAGGAAATCATACAGTCAAAATTGCATTGCAGATGGCTCACTTTCTCAAGTTGAGGGTTCGGGTTAAATCACAATAACAAAGGACCTAACTCTCAAATATGAGCTTTATGTGCCTAAATTGGACTGTAATTTACTTTCAATAAGTAAATTTACCATTGAACATCATTGTGTGACAAAAATTTTCTCGAATCTTTATGTATTTCAGGATTTGAACTCGGGGACGAGGATTGGCAATGCTAAAATGTGTTCCGGATTGTATGTTCTACGTGATGAAGTCTCATCCAGAAGCATAAACCAAAAAATCAGTTTTCTTTCTTTGAATAGTCACTTAGTTTCTTTGTCTAATAAAGATAGTGATATCATGTTATGGCACTATCGTCTTGGTCATCCAAATTTTGTGTATTTGTCAAAACTGTTTCCTTCTTGATTAAATGAGACTTGTCAGTTTACTAAACACACTCGGAGTAGTTATTCTAGATTAACATATAAACCATCCAACCGTTTTCAATTATTCATAGTGATGTGTCAGGACCTTCACGCATAAACACTATAATAGGAAAGAGATGGTTTGTATCTTTTATAGATGATCATACAAGGTTAACTTGGGTTTTTCTTATGCAAAATAAGTCAGAAATGAGTGAAATTTGTCAGCGCTTCCATTCTATGATTCAAACTCAGTTTCACACTACGATTCAAGTACTCAAAACTGACAATGCCAAAGAATTTATCAATTGTATTCTTGGTACCTATTTGTTAGAACATGGCATCATTCATTTAAGTTCATGTGTTGACACCCCTCAACAAAATGGAATCGCTCAACGAAAAAATCGACATCTTCTTGAAGTTGCTCGATCTCTCATGTTTTGGACTCATGTTCCTAAAGTTTACTAGGGGGATGCAGTTCCCACCGCTGCCTATCTCATTAATTGGATGCCATCTAAAGTGCTAAAATTTCAAACTCCGTGTCAAACTCTTCTGGAAATATTCCCTCATACAAGGTTCATTAGCTTTGTTAACCCTAAGGTCTTTGGTTGCACCATTTTTGTCCATCTTCATTCACAACATCGTAGTAAGTTAGATCCTAAATCTATCAAATGCATCTTCATAGGTTATTCATCTAATCAAAAAGGTTATACTACCTCCATCCCATTAGAAGGTTACCGTCCACTATTCACATGGTAAACTTAAATCATTTTTAATCTTTTACTTTATAAATCAAATTTTTATCAAATTTACATTTTTTATCAGGCTTTGTAGCGGTTTTAATGTAGTTTCTGAATATGTTAATTTTATTTACAAAAAATAATCAGAGTGTGAACAGGGATTAAGTTGCTTTATTATCAGTCAAGCATCGTAAACCGTCAACGGGAACCTTCTAGCGAGACGGAGGGAGTAAGTGTTACTGGCCTACTACACGAAAAACCTATAAGTCTATGGATGCCACATTTTTCGAATCACAAGATTACTACAAATCTTAGATTCAGAGGGAGAATGAAAATGAATCTCACCTTTGGGTAATAACTTCTCCAAACAGTCATACTCCTATAAGGGAAATCTCACCTATTGCACCTTCTCTTGAACTCACCAGTCCACAACCAATGAACTCAATCCAAGAATGTCAAGATGTCATAGAAAATCACGTTCGATTTAATCCATCTAGTTCATCTCAAGTCACCGAAAACACGTATGAACCATTACCAATCGTTAATTCTCATCTTGGACCTAAAGAATTTCATGTTTATCAAAGAAGAAAGCACCCTGAGAAAGAACAGACACATCTACACGAGTGCCATGAATTGGAACTGGAATCACATCCTCCAGAAATACATTCAAGTATGAGTAATCCTTGTCATGATAGTGTTACCCATATAAATGATGATCTGCCTATTGCTTTGAGAAAGGGAGTTCGTGCTTGCACTAAACATCCCATTGGCAATTTTGTGTCCTATAAAACATTATCTCCGTCCTCTCAAGCATTTGTTTCAGCTCTTGATAGTGTACAGATTCCTCACACAATTCAAGAAGCACTGATTGATCCTAGTTGGAAAAAGGTTGTACAAGATGAAATCAATGCTTTGGTGAAGAATGGAACTTGGCACATAACAGATTTACCATCTGGAAAGAGAGAAGTGGGATGCAAATGGGTATTCACTATTAAACATAAGGCAGATGGTAGGATTGAGAGGTTTAAAGCTCGCCTTGTTGCTAAGGGGTTCACTCAGTCTTACGGGATTGATTATCAAGAGACTTTTGCTCCGATTGCTAAACTTAATGCCAATCGTGTTCTACTTTCCATTGCTGCAAATAGAGATTGACCGTTGCACCAACTAGATGTGAAGAACGCTTTCTTGAATGGTGACCTGGAAGAAGAGGTGTGCATGGATATTCCACCCGACTTTGAATGTTCATCCAACAGAAATAAAGTATGCAGATTAAAAAAATCTCTATATGGCCTTAAGCAATCTCCACAAGCATGCTTTGGAAAGTTTACTAAATCAGTCATTAAAAATGGTTGTATTCAATGTCAGGCAGATCACACGTTGTTTGTGAAACACTCACAAGATAAAAGGATAGTTGTCAAGATAGTTTATGTTAGATGATATAATACTTACAGGTGATTTCAAGGAAGAGTTGGAAAACTTGAAAAGTTTTTTATCAAAGGAATTTGAGATTAAAGATCTCGGTTATCTTAGATATTTTCTAGGCATGGAAATTGCACGATCAAGGTGTGGCATTTTTGTTTCTCAAAGAAAGTATGTTCTAGACTTACTCAAGGAAACAGGAATGCTTGGGTATAAACTAGCCTCAACTCCAATGGATTCTAACAGAAAGATTGGATAACAGACAGGTAGAGCACCTGTGGACAGGGGGAGATATCAAAGGCTAGTTGGACGGCTTATTTATTTATTTATTTATTTATTTATTTATCACATAGCAGACCTGATATTGGTTTCCCTGTAAGTGTGGTGAGACAATACATGAATAACCCAACCGATGAACACATGGAAGCTGTTACAAAAATCCTTAGATACCTCAAAATGAATCCAAGAAAAGGTCTTCTGTTTAGGAAGAATGACAATAAAGAAATTAGAGTCTACACGGACGCAAATTGGGCAAGAGATGTAACTGATAGAAGGAGTACTTCTGGTTATTGTTCTTATGTTTGGGGTAATTTAGTAACATGAAGAAGTAAGAAACAGTCGCTTGTTTCTAAAAGTTCAGCTGAAGCAGAATTCAGAGCACTAGCTCTTGGCATATGTGAAGTTATGTGGGTCATGTGGCTGAAAAGATTACTTGCGTAGATGGGGTATTTAAAGAAGGGTCTATACAAATGCTTTGTGACAATCAGGATGCTATTAGCATTGCCAAAAATCCAGTTCATCACGACAAAACTAAGCATATTGACATAGATAAACGCTTTATTACTAAGAAGATAGAGAGCTCCATCATTCAAGAATGTTATATTCCATCAAAAGTTCAAACTGGTGACATTCTTACAAAAGCTCTACCAAGAATTGTTTTTGAAGAATTAATTAGGAAGCTTGGGATGTTTGACATTCACAACCCAGCTTGAGGGGGAGTGTCGATTTATTTCCTAATTTAGAGAATATTTATTGCTGTATTTTAGATCTGATTTGGTATTAATACCAGATCTGCTGTATTTTATTCTTTCTAGAAATAGGATATTCTATTGTCTAAATTAGCAGATTGTATAGTTAATGTCTTAGATTCGCTCCCCAATACGTTGTATAAATATCTTGCCATTCTGAGATAATGAATTATTACAAATATTCCGAATTTCACAGCTTAATTGCATACTATAATAAGACGTGAAAGAGTAGCCCGAAGTTTTATACGTAGTATGTTGTTTTGTATATTTATACTTGGTCGTTGTAAGATTAATTCAAAATGATAACTAACACACGAGGTTAAACCTCAGTTTACCAAAGTTATTAATAGATGGACCGTATGGAGCCCCAGCACAAGATTACCAGAAATATGATGTTCTCCTACTGGTTGGTCTTGGCATTGGAGCAACACCCTTTATAAGCATCCTCAAGGACCTACTTAACAACATAGTCAAAATGGAGCAAGCGGGTGAACTTGAAGAACAGCCTTCCAACAAGATATGTCCGAGACAAGAATTCCACAAAGAACATTTCTAGAGGGTCCTACCCGGCCATCACGTCAAGCAATTCTTGTCTTGTAATAAGCAAGTTGTAATCATGCAAGTGACCATCTTGGTGTAGCAAGCTGATAACAGCAAAGACCCGAAAAATTAAATAATTAAAAAATTAAACACATATTAGAGGCGCTTAAAGAGAAAAGCGTCGCACGTCGTATATTTTGAAGGCGCTTGTTTATTAAGCGCCTCAAATGACGTGACGCAATTTAACAAATTTTTACTAGTGCCACCACAAAAAAACAGTTCTTTATCAAGGGCTGTTGACCTGTAGGCTTGGAAATGTATACAACTCTATACAAGTGTACAAAGCATGATAGAGGGGAAGACACACACTAAGTCAGCCAAGCAAATATTTTTGAAAGAAAAAAAAAATAAAGTAGCAACTAGCAAGAAGGATAGCTTTGATGTTAGAGATGAGTTGAGAGGAGTCCATCCATCTATCCATGGAGAAGATCTGGCAGATGATAAGAAACTCAAGTAAGAAACTCATCTACTGTACTATTATGTCATGTGCTTATAACAGTAGGTGTCTGTAATCTACATCTAGTGGTGGGATTGGTTCGATATGGCACAGGATTTTGCTATGCACAGAAATAACCTGTCAGATCTCGAACTATAAACTCTGGTACCGGAAGAAGGCCCATCATATTTGGTTCAAGTTGGATTTTTGATTGTCCAAGTTCAGTATTTTATATAACGGCGATTTTGTCCATTTTTAACTAGGTGTTTTTCTCTACCAACTCACAATCAAAGCTTTAATAGTCTAAAACAAAAAATCGTACTTTTACTTGATAAGTCTGCAACTTCTCTTCGAGCTCTACCTTATATTTTTCAGTGCGTGTTATTTATACTTGACATTCAACGATGTTCATTGTGTTCATAAGTTACATGAAAACATAATAGACTTAAATATTTTTAATTTGTAGTTTATGTTTTTTTATCAAACTGTTTACATCAAACATATAGCTTTTGTATCATTGAATAATATACTTATACACAAATGCATATTGTATTTACATATTTACATATTATCACGTGTTGTGAAGCTTTTATCTGATAATTGGTCATGTTCTAAGCTTGAACTGAAAAATTCACTTCTAATCCTTCATGACTCTAAGTTTTTTGGCGGTTTCTTCCGCATCATCAAGAAGGGATGTGATTCTTTATTTATACCAGAAGGTTGGAATGGAAAGGGGATTAAATGCTTTCTGTCAGGAATAACAAGAGCAATTAAATTGATGCGGGAATTTGCTGATAATCAGACAACTGATAAGATAAAACAAGACTCAAGCAGAGCTTCTTGGGGTGTGGTGGACTTCGAGTGGGATCTCTATATGAATAGAGATGACTCCAATCAAAACGATTTCTCTATTTATGGACCTTTGTTTGAAGTTGATATCGAGCAATCTGCCTTTTGTGAGAAACACCTAATGTTAAAATCTGTTGAGGAACAATTTAGTTCTCAACTATCATCAAACTCTTCCCATGCAAACATTAGGGATTGTTTTCAGACAACTATGACTACTGGGGTTGACTCATTGTCTCACTTTCTAATCAAAGAATTTGAAAGAATTGTTACCTCCTGTTTGGAAAATCGCGACTATTTGGATAAGAGACTAGGTGAAGGGGCTAAAGAATGTGCTTGTCAAGTGGTAAATCCTGCGACAGAGACAATTGCAGGTAATCAGTGTTCTCTAGGTTCTGACTGGGATGATGCTTCTGTTGAGAAACCTGTATATTCAGGGGATGAGTTTCTTGGTCATGCTTCAGAAAACGAGAAGCGGACTCCTGTTTCAGCGATAGAGGATCTATGAGACTCAGACACAAATCAAGACATTTGTAACAAGGCTTGCTTGGTCACGAAAGAAAATTGTTTGCCCACACAGAACCTTAACACTCAAATGAAAATATACAGAAAAAGACACCAACGATCGCATCCCATGAGGACAAGATCTCAATCTCATGTGGATTTTTGATAGCTTCATGGAACTTGATGGTTTTATAGGGAGGGTTCTCACTTGTTCTTCGGATTGAGCTCTATTTTATTTGTTTGTCTACTTTGTTTCTTAATCTTTTTTGTATTCTTCTTTTTTTGTCCTTGTACTTTCATTTTCATTAATAAAACTAGGAATTCGTAAACAAAAAAAACACATCATTATAGTTATAAAAAAAATATACACCTACATACTTGACACACTCAATTTACATTTTGTATAAGGTAACGCTACTTACATATTTGACACACACATATTACATTTTATATAAAGTCATTTATATCAAACATTAATTTTTTATCAATTAAATTTGTAAGAAAAAAATCAGAGACTGTATTTGCAATTGAATGAACACGAATTCCAAACACATTAAAGCAAAAACAGAAAAACACATATGGCATCCGAGAAAAGAAAAGAAAAGAAAAGCAAGCAGGGCTTTTGGGCTTGGGGACTTCCCATCTTTTGACCGCTAAACACGGAGTTCTTTAAGTTGCACATTCATAAAGCTAAGGTACGTTACTAAGAACTAGTATAGTACTCGTGCGATGTACGGGAATAAAAAAAATCATTTCAACTAAAGATCTTATTTTGTAATTGTATCCTTCTAAAATGAAAATAGTAGCAATATTAGTGTATAAAAAGATAATTAAAGAATGGATAGTTTGAGCAATAAATTTAATTACAGGACAAAAATAAACTGATTAGAATACCCAACATAATGAGAAGTGATATTTTTTGACAAATTTCACTCTTTTCTCTTCTAGAAATTCAATGATCACATGATTCAATCCCATATGCGTACACATATACTCGTTATATGGTTTCTCCATTGTGCACTTTTAATCATAAATGCTCCTTTCAAAAAGCATACTCTCAATTCACCACATCTCTGTTTTTAATGGAACAGAGGTGGAAATGAAATCACATTTTGATTCTGTATAAGTATATGGTACTAACTTCTTTGAGGTGTAAATATTAGCTGTGTGTAAATTTCCATCTAAAATTCAAAACAATAAATTCATCCTCCAAAAAAATTGTACATGTATAAATCTAACCTTTTTCATAGCAAAAAAATCAGAAATCTATAGTGCATAATATAGATATTCATTTGCTTTGGCAAGCAACTCTAATTAAAAGTTCTTTGTGGTGCAGTTGTGAAGGGTTGTCTCCATTATTGAAATGTGAAATATGATACAGAGCATATTGAAATGTGAAATATGATAAATTTAGGAAAATAAATATGTAAGCGAAAATCCATATGACATATAAAATGGATAAATGTTTAAAAAAAATTGAAAGATATTTTGATATACATTTTTGTTACATTAATATCTCTACCATCTTTATCACATGTATCAACTTTTAAATCAATATATAATTGACTTATCACTATTACGCAAAAATTGTTCTTGATTTTTGTTTATCGTCATTCCATATGAAACTGTTAGACATAACGGTCATCTTTGAAACTTGATATCAATACTTTTTCTCCCATATTTATTCCTTTCAAAAGAATTCTGTCAATACATTATTTAACAAAAAATAGTAACATCTCTATGATACATTTAATCCATTCACTTAGAATCAATAACTTAAGAAGGCGTTTACCTCGCTGCTAAAGTCATAGTTAAGTTAGTAAGACATGTGAAGTAAACACGCAAGCTGCTTAAAAGTTGCTTACTAACCGAAAGAGGTGTTTAAAGTGCCGCTTACTAAGCATACCACCCCCATGTATTAATTAAGCGGCACTTTATGATTTTTCAGTTTCCGAATTTACCCTTACCCTTACTCATTGCCCTTACCCTATTGTTACCCTCTACCCCACCCCGCCCCTACCCTTAACTCTACCTTATCCCGCCCCACCTCGACCTCCGACCCCACTTCCCTACCCTATCCTACCCCCATCCCTTACCACCCCACCCTAACCCCATACCATACCCCTTACCACCCCTACTCCCCATTTGTACTCCTTACCTCGACTCCACCTCAACCCACCGGTACCCCTTCCGCGTAACCCCTGCCCTTACCCCTTACCCTAACCCCCTACTCGTGGCTTGTAGCCTACCCCAACCTACCTGAGGGTCGTGGCATGGGTAGGGTCATGGTAGGGGTAGAGGTAGGTCCCACATATTATATGCATATATACTTGTGCACATGAATGTTTGTATCTATATATGTAGAGTTATAGCACTGATTATTTTACACGCCGCTTACTAATGCAAGTCTTAATAAGCACTGCTTAGTAACCTGTGAATTATATTTGAGTGCATTGTTCATATATTTATATTTGAGTGGACCAAAATAAAATCTATTGTGTTTTTAAACTATAATGTAAAATAATCTTTCCAAAAACCACTCTTTCTGTTCTATAATAACAGTCTCGTATTCTTTTTTGAGATGTTTTTTGTTACTTGTCTCTTTTTTCCATTTTGGTAATATTTTTCTATCAAAATACCTTTATACCCTCACTTTTATTACTCTTACCGTTTTACAAACTACTTTGTCTTTCATACGTTTTCACTACTTTTCGCTTCTCAATATTCTCTTTTTCACTTTTTCATTTATCAATTATCATACACCCTATATATATTGTCCTGTATAGGACTAAAACTAAACTTAAATGCACAAATAGGACTAAGTATGTTTTTTTCCCCAAACATAACTGATTTAATCCTATTAAAAGAATACCTTGATTAAAATTTCCCAAAATAGGAGTGAATGAGTCATATTTTGGGAATAAAATATTGATAGTCCTATTTAAGAAATTTGTCATCATTTTAGTCCTACTTAGGGTAATTTTCTCATATATTATCCCTACGATTTTTTTCTTAACAATCATGAAAAATCTAAGAGGACAATTATTAGAGAACAGACGGAGTATAATCTAAAACAATATGCTTATAGAAAGTATTAAGCCAAGCAAATAAATAAACTTCAGAGAAATAGACCACTTGGACTCTATTGTATATATTGCTTGTGTGCTTGTACACAAATATAAGCTCCAGCCACTTTTCATTTTTTTTACATGAAGCCCAATGTAGCAACCCAAACTACAAAGGATAGAAAATTTTCGCTTTACCAGTCTAACGCTCGAGCATCACCACATTCGGTGTAATCTTCTTCATTGAGGATTTGCGGAACCCCAAGTCACGGCCACCGACAACAGGTAATTCACAGACCTCATAAAACTTGTGTAAAACTTATGATAAGATCAATAAATACAACTCATTGGAGAACACCAAAACTCTATTAAGATAAGTATTCTTCATCTTATAATTTCAATTTTTCATATAAAATTGAATTTTTTTATATCCTTTTTTATTTCAATAAATTCTTTATATTTCGTTTATCTTTTCACAGTAAATTACTTTCAAATAGCAGTAATCAAGATCCATCAATTGTGTGCTTCTTATGCTTGTGAAGATTTTTTTCATTATAATTATGCTGTTTCTTATGCTTCTTATCCTATTTTTTTTATAGGAACCACCCCAAAAGGTGTTTCCAATAAGAATACTAAGAGTCACTTAGTAGATTGTGAAGGCTTCAATATCTTCGAAATGTGTTGCCGCTTCAACTGTATTAATGTATTTTCATTGGGAATGTTTTCTAGGTTGTATTTATTGATCTGGATTAACGTAAAACTAAAAGTGATATATTGGCTCTTCGGAAACCACAATGATGGCTGTAAAGAGGACTTTACAGCTTTCCCGTTCAACATGATTGTGATTTATTGCATTTGTTAAAAATGTAATAGGGAGTATAACAACTTATTATTAAATGAAAATAGAATCATGCTTTGGCAATTTCAACTAAAGCCAACCGCCTTCTCATATTCTTGTGTCTTTTCAATTAACGTATACGGAGTATAATGTTTTGTCTTTTAATGTTTCATTAAATATTTTGTCTTTCTATTCTTCTATAACAACGAAGCCGCCAATATTAATGGTCCCCACCCGCCAACTTTTCTCCATTACACTTAGCTACGGTGTTCCCGCCCAAAATCCCCCACACTTTCTGTTTTACAATATATATAGATGTTCAATTAACGCATGCTTGCAACACTAACTAGGCCCCAGTTATATATGGACGGCAAATTTGCTCATCCTCTCATCTTTTATGTTAGACTTTATCTCCAAATCAAGAGATTGGGTTAGGGTGTTTTACATTTAGTTATCGTCCTAAATAGGACTAATGAGTCTCTCATAAGTACAAATATGACTACTATTTTTTAAACTTCCCAAATAGGACTAAACATCGATTTTCTACCCTAAATACCCCTAAGGCTATTAATTCATAACGAAATGTTTTAATTCATAATAAAATCATAAACAAAAAAAATATCGTAAAAAATAATAAAAATCATTAAAATATTTATAAAATAAATATTTTCAAAAAAAAAAAATTTGAATTCAAAAAAATAATAAATAGTAAAACCCATAAAAATATGGATACCTTTCCCACTGCCTCCCAGCAGCAGCACCACCGATCGATGAAATTTTTGCCACTTTATGTTAATAAAATGCCATTTTTTCTGAAAATGCCAAGAAAATGACATCATTACTCTTCATTATACCAAATTTTTCATTGAATCTACCATCATTATGGCATTACTAAAAATGTTTGCAGATTTCATCCGGTGATGGAGCTGGTGGTGCTGGAGGTGGCCGAGGTGGCGTTTTTTTTGTTTTTATTTTTATTTTTTAAAAAAACTAATTTTTATTTTGTAAATATTTTATTGATTTTTTATGATTTTTATTATTATTTTACGATTTTTATTATTTTTTATCATTTTATTACTAATTAAAACCTTTCAAAAGCTACAAGGTGATATTTGTCCAAACACACATAAATAGTCCTATTCGGGGAATTTAAAAAATGTAGTCCTATTTGTGCAATTTTGGCACTTTTTAGTTGAAAGAATGACCACAATATTACCTATGGACTTTGAAGGAGTGGCAGGGCAGGAATTGAGGTTAAGGTCAGATCTGGATCTAGATACATGATGAGGACGGGTGTAGGAGAGCTATGGGGTCGTGTTGGGCATCGATGGGGGCTGGTTGGAACTTGTTTGGCAATAACATGGCTGGAGGTCTGCGGGGTACGGTTTGGCTGGCGGCCGGTAGCGTCACCCACCGGAGGTGACGGGGTGTGGGATAGTGCGGGGATGGGGAGTGATGGTGCAGGATGGTCAGTGACGGGCAGGTTTG